GTGTTTTGATGATGGTGGTGGAGAGCGTTGTATAACATGTCGGTCCAAAATCTCCAATAGGTGTTTAAGTGGGCTGAGATCTGGTGAGTGTGAGGGCATAGCATAGGATTCACATACTTTTCATACTCACTAAACCATTCAGTGACCCCTCCTGTCCTAAGAATGGTGACATCGTCATCCCGGAAGAAACCACGCCCACCAGGATATAAATAGTTCATCATAGGAAAAAAGGTGATCACTCACAAGTTTGCATTGATTTGGAGTGACCCTTCCCTCAAAGGGGACAAGTGGACCCAAACCATGTCAGCATCTGTATTCGGTATGTTTTGCCTTTAATCTGACATCCCTCTGTAAACCAGTCCATTATGCGTATGCGTAGTCACTTAGTAGAAATAGTTAACATTCCCAACATACATCCTTACCAAATAATGCCGTGAATATTGGAGTACTTTTCCCGAGCCGAATCTGTCCAAACACCTTTTGGAACAAACGTTATACCATTAACTACTGGATCATATGCTGCATTCTGCCTACCAGTGTTGATCAAGATCTCAGTTAACTACAAATTCCAGATTTTTTTTAATGGAGTTTGACGTGGCAGGAGAGTACGGTTCATATAATCGCCTGGTGTCTAGCTCAAGCAACAATGCTGTGTCGATAGTCTAATAAATGACAGGTGACATCAGCGGTGTCACTTGCCACCGCTCGGTAGACAAGACAGACAGCAACAAATGAGCAAACACTGCCTCCCGTCACTGAGAGGGACATGCCGCTTTGGACACTCACCAGAAATGCGGATAAAATTCCTTGAAGCGCCTCTTCTTTCTCCTCGTCGCTCTCATCTTCTTGTAGGACCCCTAAAATATACGCCCCATACACCTCACAGTCCACTTCCAACGACTCTAGTCGACCATAAAGCCAGCTTTCAAACTCTCCAGTGTCTGTCACGGGCGCGGCCATCTTGATTTGGGGTCTTTCGGTTGCGCATGGCTGCCCTTTGTCATTGCCCGTGAAAAAGGTGAAAAAGAAAACTAGGTGTGTTTGATATTTAAGCTTATGTCATACAAGGTAACTGTCCCGGACCAGGTAACTGGTAATAAATTGTGTTTTTAGTCGTTTTGTAACAAGCGTATGCACAAATTTAACAGGTTAAGGACTTATTTTAAAGTATTTGTACTAATACAAAAAGTTACAAATACTCCAAAGTCCAATTCATGTTCTGCAGTCATACATTGTGGCAGAGTTTACCTATGCATGTCAAGTTTTAGTTTTTATTAATTGTTGTTTTGAACCAGTTTGTACAGTATAAAGACTACACCACTTTATGTGTTCATGAATACATACATGAATAGGCCATTTATTTATTTATACCTTGTTCTCACTCTAAACCCACTATGAAAGCTGTTATTTCATTAATAGAGATTAACACTGCAATGCAACCATTGTAAATTCCAAACTATTGTGTGTTAAAAATAACCTTGTAATGTTAACCATGTAAATACTCATGTCTATCTGACCACATCATATACTACTGTATTTAATATTTACACTTGAAATAGTCAATAATGTTTGGCTTAATACATTCCTCTTCTGTGATGTTCTCATAAACAGCTTGCATATTGTTTTTGTTTCAGCCAGTCTCCTTCCTATCCTCTTTGATGACCTCTCAGTTTTGCCAAATTACCACCCAAGAGTTGAGGTTCATGAGTTGCACATATAGGCTAATTTACAGCGTGTAGTCTATGTAGTCTTGTCATGTCATGGTCTATTTGAATGAAAATGTCTGTGATAGCTATTGTCCTGCTGCTAGCCTGGCATGTTAAATTAATTTCAGAAGCCAAAATTTCAATCGGTGCTACATGCCCAGAATTGGCAGTCACATAAGTACCCTGGGATACTGCCATGAATCACAAAGTTGTTGAAAATTAATGCTCAATTATCCCACAGTTTAAAGAAGTACTTGTGCACTCACTCGTAGTCTTCGAGCACTAGGCGTGCCAGTACTAGTCTAATTGAAATGCTGATTTCAAAATAATCAGCTATTCTTTTTAAATTCAGTAGGCAGCTGGCATACAAACAGCCTTTGGCAGAACATAATCATTATCAAAATACTGAGAAAGAATTATTTCACCATCTAAGCAAGAATAAAACTTCCTTGAAGATTAATTTGCATGTCTGCAAACCTTTGAGAAGATTGTTCTCAGAGAGAGAACATAGACAGAGGTTGAGTGAAAGGAATAGCTGAGACATAAACATGATAGGTTGCTTGAGATTTCATTTATTTTTAGTGTTTACCTTTTGCAGTAAGTAAGAGGGTCCTTGCCTGTGCAAATGGAGGCACAGATGAAATACAGTGTGGTGCTCTCAAGAATAATATAAACATGTGTGAAATCTGCTTTTGGCCACTGGGTGGAAGTGGAGGACATGGATTTGGTTACTCCTCTTATGACAGAGACAGGGGGTAGAGCTGAGTCTTGGATTTAGTAGTTTGGATCTTATTTTGCATGTGATTCATTGCAAATTTCTTCATACATGTGCATCAGACTCAGTTTGTTAAAGTATAGTTTTAAGCAGAGCTGTGGAGCAAGAGAATGCCCTGCCAGCTGTTTGTTCATCCTCTTTCATTTGACACTGGGACAACAGACAACACCTCCCAGCTGTTTGAATATATTAAACAATGTTTCCATGTGAATGGCTTGATTCTGCTTTCAGAAACAAGCCTCCCATCTCACCCCAACACATACACATACCCCATATCCTTTAGTTGTACCCCCAACACACATGCGCACACACAGACACAAGCACCCCTTTCCACTTCTCCTACATAGTGGTTTCATACGTTGCTGGCCTTGCAGTAATGAAGTGTGAAGCTTCCGTGACGCCACAGGGAAGCTACATTGTGGAACTGTTCTCTATTTGAGCACACCACCTTCAATATTTGGCTGCCTTTTTACTTTCTACAGGCAAAATTTAAACTAACTTCAGCCAAACACCCTTGTGAAACCAAATCGTTAAACTCATGCATCATTCTTCTTTAGTGTTTATCACTTTTGTGCAAATAATGCTTAGTTGATGTTTCAAGTTGGACCAAAAAAAGATTCTGCATCACAGCTGCATATTATATATTATTTCTATTCAAGATACTTCAGTGGAAAATGGAGCAGTAGTGGCATTTTTTAAGCCCACGTTATCTGTGTTGGTGTCGATAGACAGAAGTTATATACAGTGTGTGACAGTTGCAGCAACCACAAGAAACATTTCATTGAGGTTCTTTGGTGCTCACTTGTTCTGTATTATTTTAGCCAGTGCAAAGTACATTAATTCCATGTTCTCTGGCTGCCAGAGCAGTGCCCTGTTAACAGAGTGGTGTGCAAGTGAGAAAGAAGCTGCCATTAGAACAGGCATAAGTAGTCATATTTCAAGCTGAGGGGCCTGAAGTTGATGCTTCTCTTACTACTGCGTAGCTTTAGGAGGCCTGTCCTACTTATATTGAGGGGTTGTGGATTGATGCAAAATGACGAGAGCCGCAAGGCTGCTGAGTGGGTGGGCATCCACATGCGCTGCTCCACGGGCAATGCTTTACTTCTGTACATACACACACACACACACACACACACACACACACAGATACGCACTTGTCTTCATGTCCCAGTGCCACCAGCAGTAGAAAAGCCCTACAGCCTCAATGTGCAATGTCCTCTCTCTGTCAACATATATCCTCTATCCCAGCATTAATGTGACAGAATATAACCAGAGCCCAGAACAACCAGGCAGTGCAGAGCAACGAAAAATAGCATGTGTAACCAGCGTGTTTCCTCATCTTCTCAAGCAATTAGCTCGCTCATCACACAGAAGCTCGACTTGTAGCAATGCAGAAAAACTTAAAATGCTGCTAATAAACCTGTTAAACCAGCTGTGGTTGATTTCTTTGTCCTGTGTATTCACAGATACAACATTTTAGTTAAGTCTCTAAATACTTTTTGTAATTTCAGAAGCTGACATCAGTGATGTAACCTGTGAGACATGCAGGAGGAGCAGACACCAGGCAAGGGACAAGTCACTTATGCTGTTTAAATTGTTTATCAATATTACAACTACACATCATAATAATTGTACTCACACAAACATATACATTATTATTAGTAGAGATAAGTAATAAGACAAGTGAAAGAGACAGTTTTCATGTTATGTCACAGTAGCCAGTAATGTCAGTGGTCTTAACAGAACGTCCATAAGACTGTTACTGTGTGACTATCAGTGTCAGATAGCAATTGTTATTAACACTGAGGTTATCAGATCTTGGTTGCCAAGATTATCTTACGACCTTTACTGTGTATAGGATCGAGTGTTTTCATGTTAGAAAAGTTACTTAGCTCTTGCCTGAAAGCCATTTGATCATTTTAGTTTCATGTCTATGCCCCCATAGTTCAAAATTTTGGGAATTATAGGCTAGTTATTCACTTTGAGAGTCCTCTCCTGTTTGTGTGGTGAGTATAAGGCTATAGCTAGCACCGCTGGTTCCCAAAGCACCAAGACTGGAAGACAGCAAAACAGCTACCCTAGTTCCGTCTGAAATCTAATTACCAGCATCCCTAAAGCTCACTAATTCACGTTATTTGTCATTTCTTTAATTTGCACAAACATACAATGTAAAAACTATAGTTTGCATTTTTACAGAGGTTTATGTGTTGAACTTTTTGTTCGGATGGAGACAGTTACTAGGCAACCAGCAGAGACTCCAGGAAGTTACTGCCCCAGCCACAAAATAGTCCGGTGCCTAGGCAAACAACAGCTTTTATCATTTTTATATTTTAGTTCTTGTATACAATAGAACATGTTAATCAGTGAGTTGTAGAGGTGTTTTGTATTTAAAATACAGACATGACACCATCATCTTATTTAGCTCTTCATCAGTAAGTGTATTTCCCGAAAGGTGAAAGTTGTCGGTGTCCTCCTTCAAAGAGTTTCTATGATCAGCTTGAATTCATAGCGTTTACAGTGTACACTGTTAGAAGATAACTTTAGCTCTACTTCCACATTTGTCTGGTGTCCATCCGTATGTGTTTTTCAATCAGAATAGTTTTAATAATACACAATGTTGCTAAATACACAAGTTGCTTTCGCAGCTTGTTCAGCAGCTACAAATGTCATGGTTAATAGAATTTTTTATTTTGTTGTCATTTTAATTAAAATGTTTGAGCCCAACTAGTATAAGTGGTTGTAGTCAGTGGTGTTCAAGTCAAGGCCAGAATGTAGCTACTTGTTTTTTTTTTCTAGCGCAGTATAAAGTCATGAAATCAGTGGCTCAAGTCTGACGTGAGATTACACCTCTGATGGATAAAGAGAAGCCCAGTCATTAAATTATGTACTGTAAATGTTTTGTTTGACTTGTTTAATGATGCTGCTTGGATTTCAACTTCAGATGCTGCACAGCAGTGATGTTCGCTGGTTCATCAGTCTGTTGGAGCCCACTGCATGTCTCTTTAGAGTAGAAAAAATTTACTTGAGCTCATAGCCAAGGGAATAATCTGGTTATGTGTAATGAGGGCTCTTATTAGTAGTTATGCCTCTATCAGGTTGAGTGTGCTGGTGGTGAACTTCTCACATCTGTATCTCAGGAGGCATGGTGCTTTCACTGCCCTCATCTAGGTTTTTAGTATGAATTGGAGGCAATTAAATCCCTGCCATGTGAGTGTGGGAAAAAAAGGTAATGAATATGGAACACTAACTCAGAGAAATCTGCAGAGACCGCTCGTCGACTTCTGAAGGTTTCTTTCTCCAAATCATTTGGAGGCACAAAGACCATTTGACAGGGTTTTTTTTCCTCCAGTCTCTCAAATGTGACTCCCCAAATGGTGGCCCAGTGGTTTTAAAAATGCAAAGCCTATGCTTTCGTGGTTGGTGAACTTCCATGACCTCTGGCAGTGAAGAGAAACTTTTTGTCATGGGTTTGGCGACCTGACTGGCTGACCGTGCCAGCTCTCGCCGCTTCTGAGCAGAGCAGAGGAGCGAT